GGAGATACCTACAGATGCACAGCCAAGAACAGGGCAGAGACTGGATGGAGTCATGTCACCTCTACTGTGAATCAAAACACCTCCAACAAACATCAAACGAGCCTCTGTCTTTATTAATTTCCCTCTACGCCCCACGTGTCCGTCCCATCCATCTGCACTCCGTCTTCTCTCTGTCTCTACTTTTTGGTGGGAAAGATTTTCTGATTAAGTCAACATTTGGTTTTTCAAATTAAAAATCCTTTCCTGTTTTTTTTTTTTTTTTTTTTTTTTTTTTTTTTTTGCTCCTGTCCTCCATCTACCCCCGTTTCCCTCTTCACCCTGCCCCCTCTAAGATCTTGCTGGCATGTTTTGGTGCCACGGTGCGGTTGCTGGTGGGGTGAGGGCAGTGTCACTGTGCCCGTGGCTGCACAGCACGAGTGTGGAGCAGGAAGATAAAGGGACGTTTGATCCAAATCTGAGCAGACATCATTATCTCAAAAAGGTAAATGAAGGAATCACACGAGCGAATGCAGGAGAATGGATTTGATGGGGAGGCCGGGTGGTGTGAGATGAACATGAGTGGGTGATCATCAGTGTTAAAGTGCTGTAAGTGAGCCGGATTTACTTATTAACAGATTTACTTATTAACACATCAGGAGCTTTTGGTGCATCAGGAGCTAATGAACAAGAAATCACATTCACTCATGTTTTTGCTCTAATGGTTGTGCACGTCTTAGCTACACATCTCCCAAGCTCAACATGACTGCCAATTATTGTTCAAAGCAGAGCCTTTTAAGCATGTTTCAACTAATTTTCTACCTTCTATTCTTCCATTCTTTTCTGTGTGAAAACCTTCAGAGATTTTCATGGCTAGGTTCACATTTATTTTTTTAAGTCTACCTTAAAACAATACTCACATACCCACATGCACATACTATGTGTTAGTGGATGCTGTAATTGTTCCTCTGGTCTATACTGGCCACAGAGATCCCTTCTTAAAGCACTTTCAATGTAAATGATGGATGACGGAGAAGAGAAACAAATACATTCTGTATGGGCATGTCAGAACTGTTTTGAGATTGACTTGAAAAAATTTGAACCCACTTGAAAACTTGGGTAATCTTGACTGAGATCGGAGCTGAAACGATGTCGACTGACAGAAAATTAATCTGCAACAATGTTGATAATCAGGAAATTGTTTATTTATCAAGCAGAACTGCCAAACATTCACTCCTTCCACAACCTCAAACATCTAATTTCTATCATTTGTTTGGATTTAGCACATGAAGTCAGACAAAACAAGCAACCTCAGAGTTTGGGAAACGTTGATGGGTATTTTTCGCTACTTTCTGCCATTTATAAACAAAAAAAATGTATTGATTAATCAAATAATTAATTGATAGATTATTAAAAATGCGTTAAATTCCTTCGATAAAACATTTGCGAAGGGAGGCCTAAAACTTTTGGGAGGTGCATTCAGTGACACTCCAACATCTGCCAACTGAAATTCAACATCCTAAAAGCATTACTGTTGTAATATAAATTCAAAGGTGGAGGATGAACAATAAGCAGACAGGAAAATGTAGAAAGAAAAGTTGCAATTCTTTTGTAAGTTAATTTTCAAATGGCTTTGGAAACTGGTCTGGCAAAGTTTAGACAGAAAAAACAGGCAAAAGCCCTGGGATTAGCTTTTAAAGTGATGATAACATCAAATGCTCACTTTCTTCTCCTTAAAATGGAAACAACCCTGCCAATCTGATATCATGACTTCAGTAAATTCTATAAAAACAAGAGCAATCTTATTACCAGCTGCACAACACAAAGTAATTCAATCAAATCTGTCCTCTCCTCCAGACCCAGCTGATTCCAAATGTGAAAAAAAGCTTCTCTTCAGGATTCACTTCCCTCATCAGCTGTAATCACTGTGTGTGTCCTAGTGTGTAATGGGGCTAATTTTCAGTTAGCCTGAGCTAGCCCCGACCTCCTGAGGACAAAGCATTGCAGCCCCGCGCGGGTTTCTGCAGTTTAGCTGACCTAGTCTCTGAACATTAGTCTGGTTGGATGCTCCACAACACATGGGCCGAGAGAGGGAATGAATGACATCATTGACTTTTGCTTTGAGTGGATCTGGGTTCAGCTGGACGACAGCAGCAGAGGAGTATGAAGTCACTCTGGCCTACAGGCCCAAAACACATACAAACACACGCATACACACTGGTCCTGCGCATGTGTGAGCACACTCCCACTGACATACACACATCAGCCACACACACACAAACACACACACACACACACACACAGACACACATCAGCCACACACAAACAAACACACACACACAGACACACATCAGCCACACACACACACAAACAGACACACACAGACACACACAGACACACACACAGACACACACACACACACACACACACACACACACACACACACACACTAGGCTCACCCAATTAAGCAGTCTGTTGGAACAGGGAACAAGGCACAGCTCCCTTGCCGTGAAGTGAAGTCTGTGTTGGATGTGTGTGAGTGTGTGTGTGAAGTAAAGAAAGAAGAAAGAGAAAGAGAGAGAAAGCAGAGGGTTGGAGGTTGGAAAATCCCTGGCAACAGCCCCTGAGCAGCATGTCTTATTTCATCGACTTTCTCGCAGAGAGGAAACATGACATTGTGAGGGATTACAAACAACCTCGCAGTGTCAGACAAATCACAGACTCTCCCTCTGCTCACAGTCATGACATCCTAAAAAAAGTAAATAAAAAAGACATCTTAGAGAAGAGTTAACTAAATCTAAGTAGACTAAGCGTAGCTTGGATTCTGTTTGGAAAAAAAAAAGAAAAAAGGACAAGACCAAATTTGAAAAAGAGCCTAAATCTCCCTCGCCATATTTCACTGCTTTGACAGCAAGCTCCCGTCACCTGTCATCAAACCACTGAGCCTGGGGGGCAACACATACCGTAAATGCTGAAAAAGCTGTACCTGCCACGACACTATAATTAGCAAGAGTTTTAAAGGTCAGTCATTTCCTCAGAGGAAGCCGTAGCATCTCTATTACTGTACAGCCACCTCTACACCTGTTTTTCAGGTCAATCCGACCGACCCACCTCAGGTGTTATCATTGGCACCGTCAGCACGTTGCTCATCACAAAGGTGCATACACACCTCTCTCTTCTCTCAGTTATTTTGGGTTATCAGAAATCAGCATCTATCTTTTCTAACATGCAAACCATGAAAAATGGATTCAATCTGATGCCTCAGCTTTGTTACTTATTCCTGTTTCCTTACGCTGCGTACCATCAAAAATGAAGCAGATGTACCATTTCTAATTTGTCATTTATGGACTTCATGCATCAAGGGAAGCTGTGCAGAGAAACCTCTCTTCTCTATAGACGTCATTCATCTTTATATGATCTATATCTCAACTACAAGCTTCTCTAACTCATCTGTTTCCCTTCGTCTGCATCTCCTCCTTTGTGGCTGCTATAAATTTAATGAGAGAAATCCATGAGGGATAAAAAGCTTTTAACTGGATTCATCACATCAGTGATTCATGAAAGTAGAAGAAGTACCCATGTATCCATGGCAGGAGATACCTCTGTGCAATTCCACATGCATGATTTGCGCTGTTAGACAATAATACCACTGCCATCCCATCAAGCACTAGCAGAGTGCTTACACAGCACAGTAAATAATATTGATTTTTTCATTATCCACCAATGGCAATTACGTTACTCTATGCTTTACCAATGACAGTTTACTCTCACTAACCAGCACCACACAGTCACTGCGACTGCTATACCTACACAATGAAAAATCCTAAATGTACAATAAACACAATGCAGATGGCAAACTGAGGCGGACAGGAGCAGACTCTTTTAGGGGAGTTCCACCCTGCGCATGATACACATTTCATTTTCTCTTTAGTTAACTGGTTGAGTGGAGCTCAACTACGACCTGGTTTAAACTCCCTCTGCCACAGTAATCTCTGTTAGGGACACAGGTTATTGTGTAGGAGATAATCCCCTTTGTTTGGCGGGCTCACTAACTGTCAGCATGCCAGCACTCAACTGGGCAACATTCAGTTCAAAACAATACATTCTTTCAAAGAAAATGTCCAGGACGTGTTGAACTGGGAAACAAGAATGTGTTAATGCAGAATATTATCAAGGTGGGACCTTTTTGAATTCGTAGTTAAGTCTGAGTTTTTAATTTAAACTAATGAATCATACGTAAAGATTTGCTTTTTTTAAGAGGAAACTTGAGCATCTTGGACATAAGTCCTAAACTGATGTCATTCTGATGTGTCATGCTGCTTCCCCTCTTCCCTGAGTCACCGTCTCCCACCCATAACATTAGCAGCCTGAAGTATGGTGTCTCCCCCCTGCCAGCAAATATATTACATTAGGACACTGAGCAGAACACGAGCAATACAGTGCGCTGTTCTGTCATTCTTCTTTAGTCTCGTTCAGCCAACTGATCACAATCAACCAACGCGGGAGAAATATATTCATAACATACCCCTTCCTCACATCAAGCAGAGCCAGAGTAATCAGGGCAGCACTGTGAGAAAAGGACTGCTCCTCATCCTCCCTCCTTCTTCTGGCTGTCATGCTCTGTTGACATTATTCTGGCACTGATTCCAGAAACTTCCTTTTTGGCCACAGGGTGTTTTTTTTCTGTCCTCTGGAATAAAGGCTTTACCTTAAATATTCAAATCTTCTCCATTGGATAAAGAGCAGCCTGGTTTACACAGTGAGGGAAAATGTTAAAGTCATGCACAACAGCATAAAGGTTGAGCTCATTTCACCAAAGCCCTGAGAGCTGGAGCCAAAATAGCTCATGCCTGCAACACAGACACACAGACACACAAACACAACGCGACACACAACTCTGCTTGGTGTCAAGTTGAGCCAGTCAGCTGATGACATGTCAAGTCCAGAGAAACAACATGCAGGCAGCGGGGGGAAGAGAGGGATGGGGGGGTGGGGGGGTGGAGAGACGGATTAGTTAGTTTTACCGTTGCAGAACTGTAGCAGTGATGAGGTGTCATACAAGCTGCTGTAGCTGGAAAACCCGTCCTCCATTCTCAACCTCTGCTCCGCTCCTCTGTGCTCCCTCTGTTATCCACCACTCCTTCGGTCTCTCCTCTGTCGCTCTCTCTCTCTCTCTCTCGCCCACTCTCTCTCTCTCTCTCTCTCTGGTGACTCCCCTCCGTTAGTTTATCGTTCACTTGGTGTCCAAGGCGCTCCCTCCATTCACTCTGCACGGGTCAGGCTCCCTGGGTGAGTTACCATGGCAACCCATTCACTCCGATTATGTCATGTGAACTCCAACCCCTCTTCTTTTCCTCCACTTATTCCTTCCCCCCCTGACTCCAGAAAAAAAAAAAAAAAAAAAAAAAAAAGGAAAGGAAAGGAAAAAGTCGTGAACTACAGCAGAAAGAAAAACACTCCCTGCTGAAGAATGACTGCACCGGACCGCCGGAGACACACACAGACGAGGAGTTAAGAGGCTGCTGGTGGTTTTGTTTTCCCCCGAGCTTGTCCTCTCCTCCCTCTTTTCCCCTCCCTCTCTTCTCCTCTTGTCCTTCCTCTGTCTTCAGCAGAGGCAGCTGTGTGTCGTTAGCTCTCACTGATCTCCAGCAGAAAAACAGCTTTAAGAGGGCTTGAGCTGAGAGCACAGGGAGGCTCTGGCATAGGCAGTTACTCTGTGTGTGTGTGTGTGTGTGTGTGAGTGTGTAAGTGTGTGTCTGTGTGTGAGTGTGTATCAGGGGCTGTGTTTAGATAATGCTCGGGACAGCCCAGCCTTCCCCTGTCACACAGTGTGGACGAGTCAGAGCGCAGGGGGGCCGGGCCTGTCAGAGAGATCCTCCTCCTTTTGGTTGGTGAGAGAGCAGAGGAACAGATTAGGGGAAGAGAGGGAGGAGAGAAAAAGAGAGGAGAAGAAAAGGGAGGAGAGGGGGGGGCAGGAGAGAGGAAGAGATGAGAGAAGGAGAGGTGAGGATAAGATAGAGAATCAGAGAAAAGGAAATGGACAAAAAAGGAAAGGAGAAAGGTGAAGGAAGAGGAAAGAAGAGGGGAGCAGAGGAGAGGATAAGGTAAGGAGGAGAGAAGAGGGAAAAAAGATGAGGATGACAGATGAGGAGAGGAGACAAAGTAGAGAAGAAAGAAGAAAGGAGAGAATGAAAAGAGAGCAGAGAGGGAGAGGGGAGAGGAGAGGAGAAAAGAGAGGAAAGGACAAGGTATGGGTAGAGGAGTAGAAGTGAGGAGAGGAGAAAAGGGTAGAGAAGAAGGAGGAGAGGTTCAGAGAGGAGAAAAGAGCAGAGAGGACAGCAGAAGAGAGAAGGGGAGGGGAGAAAGGATGAAAAGAGAAGAGGTGAGGAAGGGAGGAAAGAAGGAAGGAGAAGTGAAGAGAGGAGAGGAGAGCAGGTGCCACCGTATACTACAGCACACACACACAGGCCGTATGTAATGGTATGGAGTCACACGGGGACACAACCATAACAAACTAGCGCCACATCTTTCCTGCAGCTGCCACCAAACGTTCAGTGCATACAGCCAGAGGAGCTCGACTGTGGCTAAACATGATTATCATTCTGTCCTCTGTCTGTCTTATCTGGCCCAGTGCAGACTGCACAGAGACCGAGGGATCCTTAAAACAAGGACAAGAGGGGGAGAGAACGAAGGGGAGACTATAGGGGATTGATGAAAGAGAGAAATAAATGGGATAGAGGGGGAGGGGATGGAGGAGAAAAAGAAAGAGAGAGTGCTTGAGGAGGGTGAGGGGTATAGCAAGAAGGCTCAAATTAAAAAGTGAACAGGGTGGGAGTTTAGTGAGGGGAGAAAGGGGGATATCCCATGGAATAAAAGGGGCAAACTGAGTGCTTCTTAATTCTGACTGGGGGTTTTGTGTATACATGCGAGGTGGTGGTGGTGGGGTGCTCTTTGCATTATTTATAATTCAAGCTTGCAGGGAAAAATAATAAGCCTAAAGAAGACAGAGTCTGTGGCCTATATTCATGTCGGAAACGCTCCCGCCTTTCTTCTTAGATCACAAGACGGAGCCGACAAAAATTACACAAAGGCTGGGACGCTGTAAAGGCGGCAGTGGGAGAGACCGTGAAAGGATACGTTTGTTTCTCTCACTGTTTTTATAGTAACCCAGCAGAGGCGATATAATCTGTCCGCATGATGCTCTTTCTGTGCAGGTATCTGTCAGAATATCTAGAGTCATTTTCTTGCTCAAACGTGGACCCCGGCTAGATTTGACCTTTAACAGGAGGATGAAAGGGGCGCAGTAAAGCAACCTTTTTAACGGTAGATGAGTAAAGCCTTGATCCGTTTATGGTTCAATGTCGCCTCCGTGTTGTTGACCTCACAGCTCCAGCCCCTCGCTCTCCCTCCTCAGGAAAACACAGCACTCTGCTTCACTTATTACACAATAACATCAAGCCAGCAATAGATCTACCGAGCTCAGCAGCAGCACACGGGATTATGTGAGAAAACAAGGTGCTCATTGTGACGCACTGGGAGGTCAACGTTGCATTTGCACACTGCAACACTTGTTTTGTGAGATTGCAGGGATATTACAATTTCAAAACGCTCAGAAAGTAAGATTAAGTGTTGACCTTTACACCATTTGTCCACATCAGTCTTTGTCTGCATCTAGAGTTCATACTCTTACAACCGGAACGTGTAAAAATGCACCAAAGTATTTGCATTTATATGAAATCAGTCCTCAGATGTTCCATAAAACCACAAAACGGCCACCATATCCAGTGTTTTGATTCAGATACAGAAAGGAATTTCACGCTGCTCCGGGCCCAGACTACAAGCAACACACACTGTAAACATCCTTTGTGTTTGTTCTGAAGACGGCAGTCAGTGTGGTGTTTTGTCTAAGGGCTTCAGATTACTGTAAAGCTCATTCTGGGTGCAGATTTGGGATCTAGATTAGGGACAGGTCTGGTTTTTGTGTGTGTCTGTCTGTCTATGCATATGCTCACGCGAGAAGAGGCAGCTAAATCTGGGGTATATTCCCTCCAAAATCCACCCCCCCCCATGGGTCTCTAAAAACCCCACCTACAACCCAGCGGGTGGCAGGTGGTGGAACCGCTGCCGCCGCCGCTGCTGCTCCACCCCTCCTCACTCCACACCTCCCCATTGTTCCCCCCATTCATACCACCCATCAGTGAATCCAGAGGGTGCACAAGACACACACGCATAAACAACGCTCTAATAGTCAGATATTTTTGTACAACCTGCGGGGTCCGAGTACGTGGTTAGCCATCTCACCATAAAACATCTGGCAGGGGCTAACTGTCTTGCCAGATAGCACTTTAACAGGACTTGGCATCAGACCTCCTTTGCTTTCTCACCTGCCCTGCTGACTCTGTTTTTACAGCTTTTGTTTTTTTGGAGGCACTTCAAGGTTGTACTCAAACTGAGTGGGTTGTTCATTTCTTTCTCTTTTTTTCCAGACAGAAACTGCTGACATTGTTTTATCCACAGATGATCAGTCAGTCTGTCAGTGGGCCAGGATTATACACAATCAAATCCAGAGCTGAGGAGGAGGAGGAAACAAGGTCAATCCTCTGTATGATCCAGCCACCATCTGTGTGCCTGTCCTGGTTATTGGGCTGCTTTGTGCTTTACACCAAATTAATCCAACCTGCGGTCCAACCTGATTCATAGAAACACTGAATCTGGACAAGGCCTATAGGGACACATACAATATCAGTCAGCCAAGCAGGTCCGACTGTATACACACATTAATGGCAATGTTTTTAGGCTTCTGTGTGAAGGTGTGGTTAAACATTACAATATGGTAGTTACACAGTAGCCAACTTTATCAAATAAGCTTATCAAGGGCTTCTTAACTGTCCTTATCATGACAAAGGGAAAAGAGTAAAGGCACACCAGAGAGTCAAAAATAACATTAAGATTGTTCATTTTTCACTGAGGGGAACTTGAAAAATGAGAATTGAATGTGTTAAATCTAAAATGCAAATGTAGCAGCAGGTAGCAAAGGTCGCCCACTATGAGCCTGTGCCAAAGCAGAGTATGAGCCAACAGGAAAGAGGGAGAGAGAGAGAGAGAGAGAGAAAGAAAACCCTCACCATGAAACAAGTGTTATTCATTTATTTCCCTGGTGATAACATTCACAAGGAGTTCATGAGATTAACAGTCTAGTCATTAATGCCAACTCATTGTCTTCCAGTGTGAGCAACAGTGAAAGACTGGAGGGCTGATTTTAATTTTAGACCCAGTAATCTTGTTGTAGCCATGCTCGCTGTATAGCTCTATAACCTGTCCAGACTGAAATATCTCAACAGCTATTATATTGACTGCCATGAAATTTTTCGTGGTCTCCAGAGGATGAATCCTAATGACTTCTGTCATGCACTGATTTTGTCTCAGTGCCACCAGCAGGATGACATTTGTAGTATTAAGAGAAATCTTTTGACAGCTATTGGAAGAACTGCCCTGAAATTTGGTTCATTACTTTGGCTTTTGAAATACCTGCTAAACTAATTACATTTCCATCATCCTTTGTATTTTTGTTAATGCCAATTAGAAAAATTTAGCATGCTAGTGCGCTAACTAAGATGGTGAAAATAGTAAACATGACACCTACTGAGCATCTTAGCAGTGTTATTTTGAGCATGTTATCATGCTAATGTTAGCATTTAGCTCAGAGCTGTGAATGAGTGCAGACACAAAGCTACTAGCGTGGTGTAAATGCTAGTCTCGTTCTTTTGTAGACACTAAACAGAACAAAAACACTACATTTTCAATGTTATATCTATTGTATATTCATATAAACTTACTCTATTTTTTTTAATGTGCAATGAGTATTTACATGACTTTCCTTGACTAAAATTTCACCATTAGAAACATTAAAGTTTTATCTCTTTGTATCTAATCTTACCTTAGGGTTTGGTCAATAAAACCAAGATCAATTCTCAAAGTGTGACAGTGTGACATCTCATAACAGTATCAGAGACCAGACAAGCAGAGGATGTAATACTGTTCATGACTGACAGGTTCACTCTTTTTTAATAACTCTCTGGATGGGAGAGCAAAGATAGAGGAACAGAGACACAGATTGAATGTGAGAGGGCAGAGTAAATCAGCTGAGTGACTGCTGAAAACACATAATATCCCACCTGCTGGAGAAAATAACCTGTCATTTTTAATACTTACCAGTGTTGACGTCAGAGTCCAGATTAAAACACATTTTATGACTCTGAATTATGAACTTCGGTACCTTCATGATATAATTAGCTTGAGTGAAAGTAAAGATCCAGGTCTATAGCCCAACACTAATTAGAAGAAAACTGA